AGATTTATAGATATTCTACCTAGATCTAGATTGTTGCTGAGACAAATTCAGACTAGAGTGTCCAGCAATAGAGGTATATCTACACTAGGAAGTTATTTCAAAATAACAAAATTTGAAATAACTCCCAAAATCAAAATAGCATGTCCCCACTAGGGAGAAGCTTTGAAATTAGTCCAAGGCAGGCTCCATTATTGTGGACACACTACCTCGACTTAGAGCCCCAGGAAGCACTGGGGAGTAATTACTTTGAATGACTCTGGGGATTAGTTATTTCAAAATAGCAGCAGTGGAGTGTCCACACTAACGCTATTTCGGAATAAGTGTTATTCCCTGAGGAAAGCAGGAGTACAGATTTTGAAATAAGCAGATGGTCATTTTGAAATAATGGGCTTGGTAGTGTGGACGCTCCACTTATTATTTTGAAATAAGTTTGGTTTTATTCAAAGTAACTCTTTAGTGTAGACCAGGGCTAACTCTTAAAGAGGCAGAATCTTAATATACAGCTTACTAGTGAAATGTCTTTATAATCTTTCTATGAAATGTTATTGTAGCTGTGTAGGTTCTAGGATTTTAGAGACACAAGGTGAGGGAGATAATATCATCTTCAGGCCTGAAGAGGACTTGTAAGCTTGTTTCTGTCACCAAGAGAAATTGGTCCAATAAAATATATTACCTCATCCATATCTTGTTTCTTCATAATCTTTTTCAATTAACTGTCACTATATTCCATTAAGACACAAGTCAGGAAGAAACGACTTTCAGGAGAAGATGTTAAGATTAGTGGAGATTTGTGACAGTGGAAAGTAAGCAGGTGAAATTGCTTTGTAAACATGCACATAAAGCCAGTTTACAGCAACAGGATCCGATTAGGATCATTCGAAACAAGGTGAGCTGTTTTTATTGTGGTTGCTCTAAGAATCATCCACTGAAATCATTAGCACTAGAAGGGTGTGCTACAGTTATAAGGAAGAGGCCCTCTTTTAGTGAAGCATGAGCCTGACAATATATGCTTATTAAATGCATGCACCATTTCTTCTAAAGGTACAATGCATATATACAGTGTAATTTATAAGACCTCTTAAAAGGAATCTCTCCACCTCTCAGAAGCTGCTGCTGCCCCCCTGAGGTTGGCAAGGTTTAGAGGTCCATCACCTTTTAATATTATGATAGCAGCTGTTGTGAATTATTCAACATGAAACCTCGGCATATGCCGAACACGAACTATTCATATTAATTCTGCATGATTTGACACTTCTTTTATTAATGGCTACATTTATGCCTTGTAATAGCTTACACATTAGTGTAGCTACCCCTCTAATATTTTATTTTACTGGTTTTGCAATAGGCTTGCAAAGAGTGTTGACATTCTGTTCATTGATCTGTTTAAGAATCAAGGTCAGTCAAGTGGATCTCCTCAACCATGGATCTAATAAGTGCATACATTTTATAGATAGGGGTTCTTTAATTCTGAATGCCTCATGGGAAGGAGACAACTAAGGAGAGAGACTGCAGTTTTCTAGAGACCTTTTCATTTTTATGTCAGGATATTTTCTCCAAAACCCTTTCAGTTTTCAGCATCTTGGGGTCTTTAAACTATTTGAAAGCATCAATATCTGAAATATAGGTGGGAGGATTATTCCAGGAGTGGGTGGGTGAGATTCTGTGGCCTGCATTGTGCAGGGGTAAGACTAGATGATCATAATGGTTCCTTCTGACCTTAAAGTCTATGAGTTTAGTGCAGACAAATTGATAGGAATGATCTTTAAAGCATGTCAGCATCTCTATGTTGCTTTACGTGTAGTATTAGGAATCAATACAATTTGTCTTGTTACTTCCACAAATACATCAGCTGAACACACATCTAGAACAAGGTTGGAAACCAAACACAAACTGTGGGCCAAATTCCATCTTCAGACGTGTGCACAACTCTTGTTGACTTCACATAAGTAAATCAGGCAGAATTTGGTCTTTTTAGTTCTGGGAGGGTGCGTCTACACAGCAGGGCTTAACTTTAAATAAGCTATGCAAATTGAGCTACGTCAGTTGCGTAGCTTATTTCAAAATTGAAATTGAGAGCGTCTACACAGCACTTATTTTGAAATAGAGCACTCTTCCTCCGACTTCCCTTACTCCTTGTACAATGAGGGTTACAGGAGTTGGAAATAACTGCCTGCTATGTAGATGCAGACTAAGTTATTTTGAAATAACACTAGTTATCAGGGTACCTGAGTTCTTTTATAGAAATACCCAGGGTATGATAAAGATGTGTGAACGTGCTTTTGGTCAGATATGGAAACAGCAAAGGACACTGGTCAGTAGATGCAGTAGTATGCTGAAATTTGATTCACAGTAGTGCCTTTATTTGGCATTAGTTTCTCTCTCTGAACTGATTACATGTTGTTTTTTGGTGAGGTTTTTATGGAGTGCCTTGGGTCTGGGTTTGTTCCAACATGGTGTCATGTAAACCCAAGTTCTTGTGTGCCAGGTCTAGGGAGGAAAGGGAGTCCTGACAGTTCATCACTCAGCAAACATTACAGAAAATTTCATGGGACAAAGAAGAGTTTCCTCTGTTGCTTAAGGATTTTTCCCTTTCTGAATATTAACGACATGCAGCAAACAATGGAGATACGAGAGCTTTTGAAGCAAAAGTCATTCAAGATCCTTTTCATAATGTAAAATGATTGGCAACCTAAATATCAGGGTTGTTCTCAGCTCTCTCTATAATAGTTTGCATAAGATGCATAATAGCTACATTTCAAGGGTATGCATTCTCCTTGACATACAGGTTTTCTTTTGCATGTTGAAGATCAATAAAGTTCCAGCAAAAATGTTAATCTATTACTTTTGACCTTTGTCTTTGTGCCAGCTCCTTGCAAACAACATATGCACATGGTAAATGTAAATGCAATGTTGCAAGGGACAAATATTGCAATTACTACTTTTTATGTACATCAGAATATTGTTGTATATAGTCTAAAGCACAGATTCTAAAGTCCAGATTCTTAGAATCTCTTGGGGTTATAAGTAAGAAATTGGATAGGCTGCAACCAGAAGTGGCCCTAGACGAGCTGCTGGAAACTGGTGTCCTAGGCAAAACACACGATCGGCGCCCCCGCCTCCAAACCCCCCAATGGCCGTGTAATTTGGTGCCCTAGGCATCCGCCTAGTTCGCACCTATGGACGGGCTGCCACTGGCTGCAACTCCTCCCATATGCTAAGCCACCCTTTAAAACATTTTTAACCTATTTATAGAATGAGCAAATACTTTGTACAGGTCTGCATAACAATTTTATAGGCTAAAATTAAGAGATAATTTCTGTTTGAAACTGTTCAAGATCATACAATACAGCCTCAAGGGGGTAGCTGTATCTCCTTTATTTTGGAATAATAGCCAAATGACAATTACTAAGATCATAAAAAAAAATCCAATTTTTTTAAACACTCTATCTTGACAGATGTCTTAGTAATATTGGATGACCATTGTGTAGAGGCTAAACAGGTTTCACTATATTGAATAGTTGGAAAAAAAGGGTAGGAATGGATCTTGGAGCCAACAAAAAATCTTATATTATGAAAAAAGGGCAAGATTTCAGTGACGTACTGAAATTTGATTCACAGTGGTGTCCTTATTTGGCATTATTTTCTCTGAACTAATTACATGTTGTTTTTGTGAAATTTTTATGGAGTGCCTTCGGTCTGGGTTTGTTCCAACATGGTGTCATGTAAACCCAAGTTCTTGTGTGCCAGGTCTAGGGAGAAAAGGGAGTCCTGCCAGTTTGTCACTCAGCAAACATTATAGAAAATTTTATGGGACAAATAAGAGTCTGGAATGTAGGAATAGTTTTTAGGTTTTAAGAAAGGGAACGAGAAAGAGGCTGGCAATGCATGAGCTGATATACTTTGTCATGCAGACATAAAAATGTGGGAAGAAAATTACCACTATCTACCACATTATCTTCTTTTGTGTTTTGTTTGGCTTTGAAGAAACATCAATGTGTGTTAAAAATTTCAATTTTCTACAGCCACACTTTCTACTTTCTGGGGCCATCTGCTCTAGGAATGAGACTAAGTGGAATTGTTACTAACACTCTTTGAGCACAGTTTGCTTGGATGATTTGGGCCAGCCCTAAGCTAAAATTCTTATGATTAATTCCCATCAGCCAAACAATCTGAGCCCAATTTTCCTCTCCTCTTACACAAGTGTAAATTAGGAATAAATTCTCTGAAGATGTCAATAAAGTTATGTTTGTGTAAACAGTTGTTAGAGAATCAGGCCAACTGTGTGTTACTCCATGTTAGGAGGAAGCATTTAAAGCAATATTTCATCTTGAGTTTAATATGGTTTTATCACAAGTCTAGATACCCCCTTTCCCATCTCCCACAGCTGTCAAACAGACAAAGCATTGTGAAACCACAGACTGAAACCACAAAGTCACATTTGAACTGAGCTCAGCATTATAGTACCTTTAGTTTGAGATGTGACCAATGAGAGAGGTAGCTATTCAACCCCAAAAGAAAATTTCACAAGTTTGTAATTAGGTTTTTTCTTGACTTTGTTAATTTGAATGACCTTTAGCAGTAAGCTTTGCAGAAAAGTGTGTAGCAATCCCATTTTATTTTTGTTAATCTAATGGACTCTTAGCTGTAATGTAGCATCTCTTTTTCATAGCAATGTCTTATTTAACCTAATTTTCTGGCTGCGTTGATTAAAGCACAACTTGATGGGTTACACGAGTCAATGGCTAAATCATGATTAGGACCTGGAATGCTCCTGATCATTTGTTTTAAACAGTGTCTTTTTTTCCTGTGGATTTTACAACTAGAGCTAGAGATTAATGCTCTCTGTCATCTGGAAGCCAGGAATTCTGGTTCTCCAATCATATACAGGTACAAACTTAGGTTAAAAATATTATGGTGATTAATGTCAAGTGTATTTATGGCTTCCTTCAGCAAGAAGAAAATCCTTATTGCCGTGCATGTATTCTTCTCCTTCTTTACAGATGCTGATAGTGACTGGCAAGAATTAGATCAAAACATTGCACATGTCTCCTTTTCTGCTGAGCGTTACTCCAAGGATGAAATGATTAAAAGGTCAAAGGAATTTTATGAGCTTCTCAATAAGAGACGGTCTGTCAGATTTATAAGCGATGAGCCAATCCCCAGGGAGGTCATAAATAATGTCATCAAAGCAGCAGGTATGGTATTGAATGAATGACAGAAGCACTGGACTCACTCCTGCTTCTCAGATGTGTAAGATAAGAATGATAGGAAAAGACTGGGGAATTAAAACTTAGAAGATGCCAACCATTCTCCTAGCTGTAAGTGTAGGCCTATCGAATCAGCACTGAATGAGTAGTCAGAAACACATGAACAGCCCTGAGCCAATGGATACCACTGACCCCTGAGATGTGACTACCATGGTAACCTTTGGAATCCTGACCAAAGTCATGGGATGGTGATTAGGAAATAAATTTAAGTTCTTTGTCAGAACTGCTGTGTGTGAATCTTACTGCAGGGGCAGACTGAACTCTATTGTAATCCCGTTGACTTCAGTCAAGGATGAATTTGACCCCTATTATTTATCTTGTCCCCGAGTTTGACTGCTGTTAGAAAAGCTTAAGATTGTGAGCAGCATTAGAGTATGTTTCAGCAGCCTCTAGCCAGAATAGTAATACAAAGATCCGAGCTACTATTTACAGCAGATTTGTTGCCCTGTTGAAAAATCTGTGAGCAGTTTTGTGACTGTACCTGCACATAAGAAGATGGCGGCGATCTATTCCAATTAGCTAACAATCATTAAAAAACTAAATGTGTTCCAGCATATGCAACAAAATGAGCAAGCCTGCAGTATAGATGAAGTGCTCTGAAATCTCTGAGGAGTGGAGAAAGGAGAAAAAACATAAACATAAATATTGGTTCTTGTTTGTCAGAAGAAACAAAGCAACATTTAATTTAAGAACATAAGAAAATAAGAACATAAGAATGGCTATTCTGAGTCAGACCAGCCGTCCATCAAGCCCAGTATCATATCTGTCTACAGTGGCCAATACCAGATGCCCCAGAGGGAGGGAATACAACAGGTAATCCTCTCCTGTCACCCATTTCCAGACAAAATTTCAGAGCAGGACCAATATATTTAAATAGTTACATGGTGCATATCAAACTTAAGCAAATGGTCATTTGTTACTAAAACCTATAAATAGTTAAAAAGTGTTTAAAATGGAGGAAGGGTAGTATGGTAAGTTTAGTCAATATGAAGATCTGATCAGGTTCTTTCATACCTGTTTTGCTTCTTATAGGCATTTAAGTCTTGCAAAATGTTTATATTCTATAGATTTGATTGTATTCCTTTTCAACCAGTTAAACATTCTTTCCATTATATTTGGACATGGCAATTAGGACTGAGTGAACAAATTCAGACTTAATATGCACCTCCATGCACCAGCTGCCTTTGGGTCTGTCAAATAAAATCTGAATGCTCTTTGGCAAACATTTGCATCACAACTGATTCCTTTTGGCTGCTAGGATGGCGTACCCAAAGGTCATCAGTTTTTGCCCTGAAGCCAAAGCCTGTGGTTTGAGTTGCCTATATACTTGGCTGATGCTTTTACTTTGATTTTAATATTTTGCACTGATATCCTGTACAGCACTTAGATGCCTCCTGACAGGTATGTTAAATGTATTAAATTTAAAAAAAATCTAAATTCTCACTTCCGATTTAAAGAGAGCAATTGGAACCGACATTAGACAGGAATTAACCAGTGGATTTAGCATGGATCGGAGCTGTGATAGGGTTGTCTTCTCTTAAACTTGCCTTCTAGTCAGTCTATCCCACCACCTGGCATGGTTAAAAGGTCCAATTACAGTTACAAGGAAATGGGGGATAACAAGGGGGAAGAAGTGGTCCTGACTGTGAGAATCAGTTAGGAGGCAACCTAAAGAACCTGGACCAGGTTGGGTGCCTTGCAGAGAGAATGAGACAAGATTTCCCAATCTCCCAGCCAATTGGGGATCAGCTGGGAAAGGGTGACCAGTATAAATGCTGCCTCCTTTCTCGTAGCAGGACTTGTGCCTACAGTACTGTAGGGAGTAAGAAAGCTCTGTTAATAGGGAACACACACACACCAGCAGAAAGACTGCCAGATGAGGATTAAGTGGGGCCATCTGAAGTATAATAATTGCTTGAATTACCCACTTCCAAGAAGAGGTAAGGAGAAAAATAAAAGACTGAGAGTAATTCTGAGGGGACTGGTAACAGAGTTTTGGGGGCAAGCTTGAGAGGAACCCTAAAAACCGGAAGCACCTTTTCAAACTACTTGGAACTTTTTTTGTGAGGGACCCTTTTGTAGGAGTTTTTGTAATAAACAAGCCTAAGTCAGATATAATTAAGACAAGCACCAGGAGTCCCTGATGTTTAGTTATTGGCTTCCTGAGGATGAAGAGCGAGGAGGGAGTAAGTGCAGCACCACACTGATGCTGCAGGGGGCACCACAACACAAACATGCCCTACAACAGCAACTTCAGGCTTGCCTCCAGGAAAAGAACTAAGACCAACACCAATGGATATAAATCCATTATTTCCCGTTTTGTCAGCTGGCTCTCTCATTCCTTTGTAATTCAGTCCTGAAGCATACAGAAAGATAATCTGACTCTTTATTTCCTTCCTAGCATTTTGCTGATTGATTTTAAATGTCTGTATTTATTTGCGTAAAGGAACTTCTCCAAGTGGAGCACACACTGAGCCTTGGACCTTTGTAGTAGTGGAGGATCCAGAATTAAAACATAAGATTCGGGAGATCATTGAAGAAGAGGAAGAAATAAACTACAAGAAAAGAATGGGAGACCGATGGGTTAATGACTTGAAGAGACTGAGGTACAAAAATCAAGGCAAATAATGAACCAAGATTTTTCAAAAGTGACTAGGGAATTTTGTTTGCCTGGCGTGGGTCATCTTGGAAGAATCTGATTTTTAGAAAAGGATGAGTACCCACCTTGTGAAAACTTGGTACCTATTAAGTGTCTCAAGATGAACACCTGAATATTGAGGCAGCCAAAATCATTAGTTTTAAAAATCTTGGACCAGGTAAATAAATAAATCTAACTTTGCAAGTGAGACACACAGAAGAAAAGGCCTGTTAGGGAATTTTATTCATTTTAGCATTGCTTGTTTTTTTTCTTTCACTTCAAGGGAAAACAATTATTCAGCTCAGCTTTAAATAGTCATTTTTAAGCTTCTTGAAGATTCTGGGGGTTGTAATGGATCACAAATTCAATATGAGCCAACAGTGTGATGCAGTTGCAAAAAAAAAAAAAAAGGCTAGTATAATACTGGGGTAGACTAAGAGGAGTGTTTTATGTCAAACAGGAGATAATTGTCCCACTCTTCTTGGCATCGGATGGGTCTCAGCAATTGTACTGTGTCCAATTGTGGTATCCTACTTTAAGAAAGATGTGGACAATTTGGAGAGACTCCAGAAGACAGCAATGAAAATGAGGAAAGATTTTATAAAAACATGTTTAGTTTTAAGAAATGAGAACTGAGTGGGGACCAGATAAGTCTTCAGATATGTTAGGGGCTGTTGTAAAGAAGATGGGGATCAATTGTTCACAATATACATTTATTTATAACAATAGTTATCATTATTCTGGTACAAGACCATACGGAGAGACTCCAGAAGACAGCAATGAAAATGAGGAAAGATTTTATAAAAACATGTTTAGTTTTAAGAAATGAGAACTGAGTGGGGACCAGATAAGTCTTCAGATATGTTAGGGGCTGTTGTAAAGAAGATGGGGATCAATTGTTCACAATATACATTTATTTATAACAATAGTTATCATTATTCTGGTACAAGACCATACTGCAAAGCAGGCAGCCCTCCCCCCTTGTCAGGGGGTGGAACTTGCAATTAGTTTCTGGGGTAGTGAGCCCAGCTACGCCTTCTGGGACTCCTTCCCCTGCTGTTTCTAGCTCTAGATCTTGCTCTCTCTTTTTTTTACTCTCCTTCTCTCCTTTTCTTTACTGCTCCTCCCATTCTCTTACTCTCCCTCTTATCTTCTGACTGGGGAGGTTTTTAAAGGCCTCCTGCAGGCCTGAAGTGGAGTCAGCTGGTCCCAATCTTCCTGGGACAGCTCCCTGCCAGCTGCTCCTAATTGCCCTTCAGCCCTCTGCCCCTAATTAGCAGGGCCTTTTACCCCTTTTGGTCTGCCTCTTCCCCACTCTTTGGCAGCCCTGTGGCCTGACCTTGTCACAATACATATTTAAAATTTCTTTTTGCATAATAAGATGAGAGGAAAACAGGAGTACCTTTTCACAAACTGCTCCTTTATATATCCTTCCAGGCTATCTCATAAATTCTTCTAACAACATATCTGGATCCAGTGTGACTAACCTATCCTTGTGTAGGTCATCCCTTTTGGATTTTAATGACCTCGGTTGGATGAATATGTACTACACAAAATAGCTTTAAAACTTATGCCAAAAATTCCCAATTCAGTAAACTACCAATAGGCACCACTGACTACAGTGGATATTGGCATTGACATCTGAGGATGCAGATTAGGGATTTTAAATATAGTTTAATCAACTAATTGATAGATTTTCCATCGACTAGTCGATAAGCAGGGTTAGCTAACCCCACTGTGGCTCTGCCTTTTAAATGTATTAACAGCCTGGCAGCTGGCAGGCTCTTAATACATTTAAAAGGCTGAAGCATAGCCGGGGGTGGGGAGGCCCCGTGAAAGCTGGGACAGCCGATTATCGGCTCGTGCTGGGTCCACCCTGCTGAGCTTCTGATTTTTAAATATATTAAGAGCCTGCGGGCTGGTGCACAGCAGTGGGGACTCAATGCAAACTGGGCCAGCTGATTCCCAGTTCATGCTGGGTCCCCCTGCTATGCACCAGCCTTTTAAATGTATTAAGAGCTGACAGGCTCCTAATAAATTTAAAAAGCAGAATCGCAGTGTCTGGGACTGGGCGCAAGTCGGGAGTCAGCTGATTTCTGGCTTGTACCCAGTTCCTGCTACTCTCCTTCCCCCTGCAGAGACAGTGCTGGGGGAAACCGGCTTTTAAGCCAGCTCCCCCCAGCACCAGTTCCTGCTCCTGCTCTTCCCCCTCTACTAGAGGCAGCAAGGGGGGGGAGGAGAAAGCGACTGGTTGAGGAACTAGTCAACTATCCAATAAGCAAAAGCTTTTGCTTATCAGATAGTCAAATGGTTGACTAGTCACTTACATCCCTAATGCGGATCCTGGGGACATAAAGTGGATATCCACACGTTTGTACGGTTCTAGATACAAAATTTGTATCTGCATCTAAATCTGAGAACAAGAGCTCTGGATAGCTGCATCCACATGTGCGGATGCAGATATCCGTGGATATAAAGTGGATATGCAGGGCCCTAGATATATTTGCACTGTATTCTCAAAATCTTTCCGACATCCATCCACTGACTGTCTGCTGGGATCCAGGGTTCTAGTTCAGGCCTTTTTCTAGGTAAAATCCAACAAACTTTCATTTTAATATTGTTCAAGAACAGTATCTAATTAGAAGCTTTAAAAAACTGTTGTAGCTGTAGTACATCTATACCAATCCATTCTAGCCAACACACATATTATATATGAGAGTGAAAGCAATGAGACAACATAATAAATGTCTTCAAAATCACCCTTTTGCAGAACAAACTGGATAAAAGAATACCTGGATACAGCTCCATATCTGATCCTCATTTTTAAGCAGGTGTATGGGATGCTTCCAAATGGCCAAAAGAAGACCCATTACTACAATGAGATCAGTGTTTCTATTGCCTGCGGTATTCTCCTTGCTGCGCTGCAGGTATGTTGACACCATGCCATACGATCAGAGTTAGTATAAACTAGAGCTGGGTTGGGCTGGGTAAGAACAGAACTAACCCTTTGGCCCAAAATTGGATTAAATCCAAATACTATTTTTCGGAGCTGAAAAAGTTTAACTTGCTGTTTTAAAAAAAGTCACTCAAGTGAAAAGTTGATGCTGAAATGTTCATCTATTGATAGCACGCATTGTCAAGGAAAAACAACATTATGGACTAGCTAGATATAGGTCCAGAACTCAGAAGGTAAATTTTTCTCCATCCATATTGGCTAATACTAAGAAGAACTTAATTTAAGCAATCTCAAAGGGGTAGCCATGTTTGTTTTTAAAATTCCAGACTCTGAGTAGTCCTATGGCACTTTACAGACTAGCAAATATATATATATATATATGGTAAAGCTGAAGATACTATATATATATTTGTTAGTCTCTAAGGTGCCACAAGACTACTTGTTTTTAATTTAAGCAATGTGCTTCTTTCTATTTGCACTTCCTTTTAGACAGGTGCATACTGTTTTAATAACTGTATTATTAATAGAGCTGCAGTAAACACCAATTTAAGCACTCATAACTCTTGTACTATACTAATAACAATACTGGAGTTCTCAGGTTACCAGTATATCAGTCTTAAAATATGTCATTACTCTAACACAACTTCCTTTCACGAATCCCAGGGACATGTCTTTCTCAAAGATCAGTTTCAGTGTTATGCACAATACTTGAGGGACAGGGAGGAGAGAGGAGAGTAGAAGGGAGAAGCAGGTGTATGTTTTACTTAACAGGCATTGCAGTTTCAGTTGTTTTGTTCCAGGCATTTGTAAAGATGATTTTATTTCTAAAGAGTTTAAAGCTCTGAGCTTTATTCATTGGCCAATCTGACTGTTGGACTAGTCTCTCCATGTTTAAATGTAATATCTTAATGCATGCAAAAATGTCTAAATAGTAACATGTTTAAACTGTTAAATCATTACTGGGGCACAATAACAGCGGGTCAATCATTGGCAGATTCTTCTCTTTTAATCTAAATGTTTTGAATCCTTCATTCTAAAGAAAACACATCACAGGAAGAAGTACAAGGAGGGAGCATTGCACAAGGTTTAATTGTGACACTGGGATGTTGCTCCTCCACAATTGTGTATGAGTATGTCTGTATTGTAATGTAAACCCACGATTAGACTCAGACTGTAGCCCAACCCCCCTTCTATCTACACACAAAATTTTGACTGGCTCAGACCTAGAGCCCTTGGCCCCTGCAAGGGTGAAGGGCCTGAGCCCACAACCAGTCATGAACCAGGGCTCAAGTCCTATTATTTGGGGGAGAAGGAGGATGAAGACTTAACTCAGGTCTTGGGAGACTGCCAAAAGTATCCCACCATCCCATAGGCCAAATTCCTTTATCTTTTATCCTAAGAATCTCCAGTTGACTCAGCTGAAAACAGAAGCCACCCCCTTGGTGCACAGCCACAGCTCAGTTAATGTTAACCTTTCCATTGTCTTCTGACCATGGAGTTGGCAAATACACTGAGAGCCTTCTGTGCTTGGAGACTGAACTGAACAAGAAGTGCCCTGCTTCATGCTGATGGGAGCACAGCCAGCTGTGATGAATCTCTGGTGTGAGGCCAGCAAAACTATAGACTTCAGAAAAAGTAGCAAGAGTGACCAGGCAAACCAGTAAACTGCAAAGAAACTGGTAGATTTGCCAATTTACCAGACTGGTGACCAGTTCTGGGAGTGGGTTGAGCAGCTCAAGAGCAAATACTACAAGACTAGGGACCAGATCCACACCTCAGGCAACTCACTGGCACCCTGTCCATTTTATGAGGCATTGGACTGGCACTGCATCTAGCCTTCAGCCAACTGTGTGCGTAATGGCCTGTCAGCTGGGATGATCCCTGCCAGCCTCAGAATCTAGTGTGGGGCCATCAGAGCCCTGGTACTGACCCCATGGGGCCGTGGGGAGATGTTACTGGAGCTGGTGCTGCCTGTGGCTGCTTCTACTGTGTCACTAAGCACGTTCAATGTGGTGCTCCAAATTTAATGGTGCCCTACTCAGCCGCTTATGCCTAAGGACAGCCTGTTTGAATTTTTCAGCTGCATATACTGCATGTTTCCTACCAGCAGCTTTGCCAATAGGCCATCACAGAAACAGTGGTGGCCTGCCTCCAAAATGTGAAAGGCCTAAAATGATAGAAAAAGCCTTTTGTTGCAAGGTCAGTCACTGCCCTCCTTAGCCCAACACCAGTAATTCTGCTATTTTTGTCAAACCAAAGCAGCTTAGATGTTTTGCCTTACCATTGTCCCTGCTGTGTCCAGGGAGATTGTGTGGAGTGAAACATCCCTTGCACAAAATATTGCAGTTCAACTGTGAAAAGTGGAAATTCAAGGGTGCAAATTGTTACAAGAATTAATTCTGTGCATCTCCACTGAGCTATTGGGGACAGCAACACTTTCTTGTCCTGTTGCAGGCCCCTTGCTCTCTGTTGCCTGCTGTTCCTCCACAACTTAACGCCAGTGCAGGACAAGCTTGGCCCAGTGAACCTTCATGGACTATTCCAAAAGGAAGCATTTCCATGTGAACTGATGGTGCAACAAGCAGGTCCAATACTAGAATAGAAGGACTCAAGACTGGAGAGCAGGCGTGCCAAGAGGCGGGAGGAAATGCGGAGGCTTTCTGCACAGCTAGCAGGCTGTGTTTCACAGCGCTACGACAGGGACACTGGCTAAGGAAGGAGGATAGAGCTTAGCAGAGAGAAATGTTTGAGCAGCTCATCTCAATCAGGGCTTCAAGAGTACTGGCTCCTGCTGCCTCTCCCACACCACAGCCTGACTCCCTTGCAGCATGTCCTCAGTCCAGAAACAGTCAAGAATTCTCATTGTCTGAGTGGCCCATGAATGGCTGGGCAGGGTAACTAAATCCCATTCAGCCTTCTATGTTGTTCTCCTCTCCCTCCCCCCTCCCCCCCATCCTGTGAATACCGACGCCCCCTTCCCCTGGGCCCTAGTGCATGAAAAATAAGGCAAGAGGCAAAGGAGAACAGGGAGCCAGGGGACACGCAGCAGCAGCAGGGGTTTCTGTCATGTTTGCACTTGTTCATGCACTCTGTTTTTTGGAAATGTTCTTGGGTAACTGGGTGTTGTAAGGGCAGTTGTTTTCATGGCAGTGGGTGACTGTTGTACTGTTTCAACACATTTATAAATAAAGCCTTTTATTCATTAACGTTTATTGCCATCACTGCACCTCATCATACAGTCATGATCTGGAATAATAAAGCTGGACACTCCATCAGGAACAATTAGGAATTATAATAAACCAACACAATTTCTCCATACCTTGAAGAGCAGATCACTGTACCTAAATCACTTCTTTATATGAATGCATACAGTGACCCCTCTCCAACTCCCATTTCACAAATGGTCATGTCAAGAATAAGTACGGTATATTGTGTGCAGGTGCCCTGACAGGAGGCGTAGGGGGCCGCTGCCCCAGAGCCTGGTGATTTAAAAGGACCCGAGGCTCCTGGCTGCTGCAACAGCAGCAGCCAGAGGTCCATGCCTTTTAAATTATTTAAAGGGCCTCCGGTGGTGAAGGGCTTGCTGGGTACTTCCAGCAGCCTCCTTGTAGCTGCCTCAACTCATAATCCACATAACACTGAGGTCCCTTCCTAGCACCATCTGCCTTAAGGCCTGCTGCGAGGCTCTGGGCTGCATAGGATTGTTTATGCTAGGCCAGCGGTTCTCAAACTTTTTGGGCTCGGAGCCCTTTACATGCATAAAAATGTATGCGGAGCCCCAGCGGTCCACTGATTGCATGTGTTGTACCTATCTATGTTTCCAGTTTGTCAACCTGACGGTGCCCCTGGAGATGTCTCGCAGAGCCCTGGGGCTCCACAGAGCACAGTTTGAAAAACACTGTGCTAGGCCATGCTGCTCCTGCAGTGGAAGAGCTACTCTTGATTCCTTCACTGCCCTCCAGGCTGCTAGAACCATGTGATGAGGCTGGAGTGAGAATTGGCCTCTGAATATCAGTGGTAGTGGTGGGAGGAAGGGGGTGGAATGTGCTGTTTGCCCAGCAGCCCAGTGTGTTTTATTTTAAGTCAGGTAAGAAATCTCCTTTGTTGCTGGTAAGGCTGCCATACATTAGAGGTGGGCTTTAAAGGTTCAAAGCACATGAGCATGTTTGGATTGTACAGGATGAAGATGGGCATGGCCAGTCAGCTATAAACTCAGAGGGACTGCATTTTATTTCATTCCGTTTAAACTGCACCTTGCCTCTGGGTGTCTGTCTCTCTTGTTCTAGAATGTGGGTCTGGTCACGGTGACCTCTACGCCTCTGAACTGTGGCCCTCGCCTCAGGGTCCTGCTCCAACGCCCACCAAATGAGAAGTTACTCTTGCTGCTCCCAGTCGGGTACCCCAGCACAGATGCCACCGTGCCTGATTTGACACGAAAGCCACTGGATGACATTATGGTGGTAATGTGATTGTGGAACGACCAAAGAAAGGAACTGCTAAAATACAAACTGTAAAGCAATAGCCCACCATATGCTGCTTCTCTTTGTCTCTTCTACACAGCTTAGCTTTGCCCTCTGAAGTGTACCTGTGAGGCTGACTATTTATACCCATATGCCTTCTTAGCATTAGTAATTGCAGAGGCTGCATCCAGTAATAGCAGCAAGCAATCAAACTCTGTGAATCTGACAGCCGCTATTATTGATGAACCTGTTGACTGTTCCAGGGGATATGCACAATAGCACTTAAATTGATTTAATGGCTCCCGTTTCTTTTTTCCCTTTAAGGAGCAACTCTTTGCCTGAACTGGAAAGGACATACTCAGCTTGATATCTTTGATTGTCAGTTGCACAGCAGGGGGTATTTTAGAGAGTGGGGTGAGACCTAAGCAGTTTTGTGCGTTACTTGATGTACACCAGTCAACGATCCCTGCCTACCAACTGCATTATCCTTTGCCGAGAAAGAGAATCTCTTCACATATTTTAGTACTGTGCCTGCTTGACTGAGCTATTTGGAGGCTTTGTAAATTTCTCTGAATTTCTTTCCTTTGCTGCCACTGGTGCAAGGCTCCCCATTTGGGAGATATAGGGCAGACATGGCATCCAAGATGTTTTAACTAGTATCTATGTGTGCTCTGGGCAGTTAGGAGGCATGGTCATGAAGATGCTGGTTCCTTGTCCAAGCTAGAGCTCCCAACATTGCTGCCTCCTGTGAAGCAAAGAGGCTATGTCTACACTGCAATTAGTAAGCCATGGCTGGCTTATGTCAGCAGGCCTGGGATCATGGGGCTTGTATCTGTTTAACTGCAGTTTAAATATTCAGTCTCCAGCTGGAGGCCACTATCCAGCTCCACCACAAGGTGGGAGGCTCCCATAGAGCAAACCAGAATATTGACATTTGGTTTTGTTTGGACACCATAGAGTTGCCAATTTTCTAATCACAAGTCCCTTTCCCAGGAGCTCATCCCTGCCCTATCCCTTCTCAGAGACCCTGCTCTTCCCTCCCTCTCTCTTGTTGTATTGGGCTACGTCTAGACTGGCAAGATTTTCCGCAAATGCTTTTAATGGAAAAGTTTCCCGTTAAAAGCATTTGCGGAAAAGAGCATCTAGATTGGCACGGACACTTTTCCGCAAAAACGCTTTTTGCGGAAAAGCGTCCGTGCCAATCTAGACGCGGTTTTGCGCAAGAAAGCCCCTCTTGCCATTTTTGCGATCGGGGCTTTTTTGCACAAAACGATACCGCGTTGTCTCCACTGGCCCTCTTGCGCAAAGTTTTTGCGCAAGAGGGCTTTTGCCCGAACGGGAGCAGCATAGTATTTCCGCAAGAAGCACTGATTTCAGACAGTAGGAAGTCAGTGTTCTTGCGGAAATTCAAGCGGCCAGTGTAGACAGCTGGCAAGTTTTTCCGCAAAAGCAGCTGATTTTGTGGAAAAACTTGCCAGTCTAGATGCAGCCATTGGGCTGGGGCATGAGCTCCATCTGAGAATGTGGACTTTGGGGTGGAGCCAGAAATGAGGAGCTCAGAGTGTAAGAGGGAGCTCTGGGCTAGGGCCGGAAGTTGAGTGCAAGAGGGAATGAGGGTTCTAGGGTGGGAATGAAGGGTTTGTGGTACAAGGGGGGGGGCTCAGGGCTGGGGCAGATGGTTACAGTGTAAGATGGGGTACAGGATGCTGGTTCTGGGAAACAGTTTGAGTACAGGCAGGAAAGGGGGTTAGATGTGGGAGGCAGCGCTTACCTCAGGTGGTTCCCAGTTGGTGGAGCAGCGGGGCTAAGCAGGCTCCCTGACTCCATGTTGCTCCCAAAAGTGGCCAGCAGGTCTGGCTCCTAAGCAGAGGGACCAGGGAGCTCTGGGTCCCACCTGCATTTGCAGGCACTGGTCCCACAACTCCCATTGGGTTTAGTTCCTGGCTAATAGGAACTGCAGGGTTGATGCTGGGGGGAGGAGGGCAGCATGTGGAACTTCCCTGATCATCTCTCCACTTAGGAGCTATGGGGTCGTGCTGGCCACTTCCAGGACCTACACAGAGTCAGGGAGCCTGCTTTAGCCTTGCCACAACTCTGACTGAACTTTTAATGGCCCTGTCAACAGTGCTGACCAGATCCACTGGGCAGTCCAGTAAAAAATGGGACACCTGGCAACCCTAGCACACACAGGCATGCCTGCTTTTTGAAATTGTAATTTTAAACTGATTTCATTAAACACATGTATAAGACCATGTGTCTATACACCAGCAATCCAAATATAAACATTTTGATAGTATTATAACTGTTGATGACACAGTATGAGAGAAATTTATCAAATATGTTCAATGCCTGCTTAGATCTGTCAACATTCTACAAGTATGCTATCATTTTTGACACACAGTGAAATTGAAAGATAAGAAATTTTGCTCTTCTGTTTTCCTATATAACTTCTTTAAATAAAATGAAATATTCCCTCTGTAGTGGTTTGACTCTTATTAATTGAAGGCTTTTAACTTGTGTTGTTCTAATAACTGTCATGTGGGCAGAGATTAGCTTGGTGGCAATGTCTTTTAGGCATTTTGTGAGGGTTTTTGTTTTATATTTAGCCATCCATTAAAAATTTAAACCACAATAAACAAGCAAGTCCATATTTTCATATGAGCTCAGCATTGAACAGTTCACACTGTAGCATGTATGCCCCCATTTTCAAAACAGCCCAGAATCCAAACTACTGAGCTCTTGATAATTTTGCATTGAGTAAGCAACACATGAAAATCAGGAGTATAGATGGAAAACATAAAGCTCTTAAACCCTCCAGTCTATCTCCCTGTCAGGGTTGTTAACTTTCTAATGTTTTCATTATTCAGTCACTCACTGTGCACAGTTGCAGCTCAGAACTTTTTGATGCTTAACCCCCTTCTGTATCTCACCAGTAGAAAGCTTGGCCTTAGAGAAACAATTAGCATGGTAAAACTGACTTTCTGATAAAGCTTTCTGGGGTATCTCTAATGCCTTCCCTACATATAGTGCTTGGGTTGGCATAATTATTTCAATTAAGGCATAACTTCTTTTCCCACTGACATAAGTTATTCTGTACTAGTATATAGTTGCTTTATAATATGATGATTTATACCCCTTTCTGTGTGGGAATACCTGTACCAATATTGTAAAAGCAGTGCAATTTCTGTGTGCGGACAAGCTCTATGAATCAATTCTTAGCTTGGTCTTCTGTAACCAATATAGGAAACCTATGAGGCAGGCACAGGGAACCTTTTTTGAGTTGAGGGCTGCTGACCCACAGAAAAATCAGTTGGGGTCCACAAAAAAGTGAGAAGAAAAAACACCCAAACTCTCACTGATGTGGCCCCTGACTAAGAAGCAGAAAGACACTCCCTCCCATTCCTCTTGCACACCAAAGCCTGGGGGGGGAGGGGGGGAAGAGAGGGAGAGGCAAGTAGATTTTGTGTGCTCCAGCCCTGTGGGGAGATGTCAGGAGGGCTAGAGCACCAGTGTGGGCTTCCCAATTCTGTGGGATGGGGGAGCCCCAAGCCTCAGGGAGGGAGTGTCTTTCTGCTCTGGTGCCTCATCCAGGTAAACCAGGGCCTACATCTGGTGCCCGGGCCTGAGGTTACACCTGCTATGAGGGGACTAAATTCTTAACCTCTGATTGGGGAGGCACGCTAAATAAACCACTTAATCTCAAAGACAAAGGAGCAAAAATTAAGTAAACAATCAGAACAGCAAAT